AGGTATGTTGTTTAGTACCTTTAACTAGAACCACTGCAGGTGTTCCCATATGGGCAAGCTTATTGCGAACCGCATGCCGTTTCCAGTATGCAGTGGACATCTGCGTCACGACAGGTCATTCAGGTTGCGAAGACAGGAACCGCACCACAAGGGCAGGTCTCCGTTCGAGGATTTGCCCATCGATATACTGGACTCCTTCCCATTCGACTATATGCACATGGTTTGCCTGTGCATCATGAGGAAGGGATTGCATATTTAGCGTCTGGGCTACAGCAAGTACTCTAACTAATTAAATGCGTCTATTAAGATGTGCAGCCAATGTTTGCCGGCTGAGTTTTCACGTAGATGCAGAACACTCGATTGTCTGGAGTTTTGGAAGGCTGCGGACTACAGGCAATTTCTACTGTACATAGGCCCTGTCGTTTTGTCCTCCTCTTTAAGCGAAGCCCAGTACCAACACTTTTTACAGTTCTCCCTCGCAGTGCACGTATTCTGCCATCCCATATTGCGTATATCCTGTGGAGAATACGGCCGGCTTCTGTTAAATCGCTTTGTTATTGATTTCCCCACCTTGTATAGTCCTTCCGATATTATTTACAATGTCCATTGTCTGGTTTATCTGGATGACGATGCGGCTTGGTTTGTAGTGCCGGATAATTTCTCGGCATTCCCTTTCGATTCCTTTTTACAAAGTGTCCGTAACAGTATAAAAGGGCCTACTAACGTAGTCGCACAGGTTTTCAAGCACTTTTCAGAAAGACGCTTGCCTGAGGTACCAATATGCCCAATGCTGTTGGACGTCGGCGGGGGAGTGGCACGGGCATTTAAACTGCCTCGCGGATCCACCGTAATTTTCCACAAAGACTTTGTTCTGTCAACTAACCAGCCCGATAATGTGGTATTTATCGGAATAAGACTGTGCCTACCGACATCACTGTCGACTGCCGGCATAACTTACCGCCCGTTCCTGGAATTCGAGGACCTTTTAACAACATCCCTTCACTCTTCCTCCTTGTATATGTTTAAAGCCTCGAGTCTATCAGACATTTCTTCAACTGCTGACATCTCGAATATCATTTGTGAATATGTTTCCTTTGATATTGACGGCCGTTGTTTCCTGATTCCCTCACTGCACACTGTGCGTGCGCTGTGACTCTTGTTTACTTTGTTTATTTGAGGATATAAACTTCCCTGTGGATGTATTCCGTTGCTGAATTCGTAAATTGCAAGGCTGTAGCCTGGTTTTACGATATTAGCAGCGTTATGTGGCCTAAGAACCCCAAAGAGCGGGCTGTCCTGCTGAATAAAAACAGGCGGCCACCAGACTACTCAAAGGTGTACGCTGTGAGGCTACTAAAAAGTAATCTGACGCTACTGAAGGCCAGACAGCTTATCCGAAAAGCAGAGCTATCGGACAACATTTGTAGTTTCGAGCTGGGCGAATTAGGCAAGGAGATGAGGAAGAAGTGCATGTTTCATATTGTTAATATTTCTTTGCAGATATGTGCACAGGCAGACGTCGGATTCAGACGATGATGACGAACTACTTTATCGTCCGAGGCAGCTACTTGGTTGGCCAACACCACCACGAATACTACAGTGAGCATAATTATCGTTAATTATTCGTACGCCAAGAACGGACGAACAGATGTCCCAAGTCTCCTCTCAGCCGAGTCAACCTACGCCATCGACTTCATATCGGTAACTGCCTTTTGTTCATTATTACCGAAGTCTGCTTAGGGAAATGCCGGCACCTGCGCCAGTGTCTGCTACCGAACCTGCATGTAACCAGCAGGCGCAGAGTGAAATGACTGGCGTAAACGTTCGGTTAGCGTCCCTCGAGTAGGACTGTTTACAATTTCATTGACAATCTATTAGAAAAAAAGTCGACTTCCTGGCCGAGCAAATGGTCGCCCTTAACAACAGTGTGCGGCAAATGCAGGCAACAATGACCAATGCTGTCAATGCATTAGAGAGGGCTTTCGCTGCTGCCGACGTCGGGCCCTCTCATCTGCATTTGCCATTGTGCACAGCCTAAGCCTACGAAGACTTCATTCGCTGGCTAACTACTGAGGTGGAGATGGCAGACAGGGCGGTATGTGTATATTTGTTTAACTGTTTTCAGATCAAACATCTGGCCGAGGTGGGAGGGCGGAGTGAAAAAGACTTTGTCAGAAATCTTCTGACTGCTCTTATTGATTCGCCGCTTTGGCACACCTTCTGCTGGAGGGGCGGATACAAGGAGAGGCGGCCGTTCCTTGACTGTCCATTATTTAGCATCCTCAACGGAAGGTCTTCTTTTTGCTTATTGGCACATACAGATGCCATCGGCCAAAACTGTAACAGGGAAGTACTTCGACTGACGGCCATTAATCGGTTCCATGGGTCGAAGGACCGTTATGGAGGACGATCGAAACGCAGTCGCAATATTCACACAATACGACATTTTGCTTTGAATTACTGCCTTAATGTGTTCAGTTTCAAGGAGTCCCCACCAATGACCTCGCATGCCCACAACTTTCCTCTCCGAAGCACACGTAAGTTAACTGAAAACGACTGCTGTTAACACACTTTATGCTGTTTCCTTCTTTGCAATAATTATAATAATAGTATGTATTTTGGAAGTATGTATACATAGTAGTATGCATAATAGAAGCAAAGATGCGCGTCCCGGACATAAATGAGAAGAAAGGACGATCTCGGGAACCATAGTTTTACGGTTCTGACGTTTCAAAAGCATACCAGCCTCCATCTTCGGAGGTGAGTGTGCTGTCGCGCCTCACAGTATTTATAGGTGGGTGACAGTCATGTCAAGACGGGTTTTCTTAGATATGAAGTCAGGGTGGCAGGGGGGAAGGGACGGGGAGGGAGTCCTAGAGCGTTTTTTCGCCGGATGAGGGTGTGGTGGATCAGCTTTAGTGGTCACCAGCAGCATGCACACATGGACAGTGGCGGGCGGGGAGGAGGGAGGGTGACGGAATGTACTCAATCTATACCAGGGGCCGGCGTTGAGACGTTGGTGGCCGTCGTTCGTACCTTCATTGACCGTAGCTGTCGTCCAAGCCTGACAATCATGTTAACGCCGCAACGACTGCCCGTTTTCTCGTCGTCTTGACATGACTGTCACCCACCTGTAAATACTTTGAGGCTCGACACCACACTCACCTCCGACGATGGAAGCTTGTATGCTTTTGAAACGTCGGGTCAGTAAAACTATGGTTCCCGTGATCGCCTTTTCTTCGCACATAGTAGTATGTATGAATTAACAATGTAGTTTGCAATAATTATTATAATATGATGTTAATTATTGCAAAATACATTGTTAATTCACAGAATGATGTTTGCTTGAGGTCTGACATTCGCAGACGTAGTAAATTCGCCTACCTATCTCTTGAGTTCGAAAAGTGAGACGCAGCGCACTTTACCCGACCCTCGTTGACCGGTTTCGGGTCTGCGTCGGACCCGTATTTTACTGTGACCAGTGCCGCGCCCGCCCTGGTTGACCGCGTAGATAACTAGCGTCCCTAATTACTTCGCGCCATCCCTTTGTCCTGACAAGATGGTTCGTAAAACCGAATACGGACAGATAAATTAATTTGGCGGAGGACATCCGGGCTTCTCTGCATCAGTCCTGAGATTGTTAGCCAAGACGATGATTACATGTTTGGGCGGGTCGAAAGCCGCCAATTAGCAACTACATCAATTAGCTTGCCCTCAATTTGGTTTTATGAATTTTCTTCACACGAGGCAGTGATGATGTGGGACGGTTTGGGCCGCCAATTATCTCCGCAGACAACAAGGGGATGGAGCCAAACTAGTCACATTTAAATGCGAATCCGGTGTAGTCCAACAGATCAATTAGGGTCATGTACATCGAATTGTGTGCGTGACTTTCCAGTGCCTGGGGACGGGCAGACGAATTCACTACTCGGGACGTCAGATCCGCGTCTGACCTGCCCCGAAGGAAGCTTCCTTATGACACTCCACCTGGGAGTTGTATTTCTCATGCTATTTACACTATTGATTACTTCAATGACAAAAGCAATACCCATGATTTACCACCGTTCTTTTTTCCTTCAGGAAACTCCGATAACCAGTGGAAGCCTTTTAATGTCCATCGCAGAACTGCATCCCTACTCGTCTTTTTCTTACCGATTTCTCTTTTTGCCAGATCGCTCTTGTGAAACATGCAATTTGTCGTTTCTCAATCTACTTACCTCTCTTCCTAATGACCACCTATCTGTTGTCGCTATTTATTTTGACCTTAGTAAAGCCTTTGATAAAGTGCCACATAAAAGACCCTTAGTTAAATTATAAGCAATGGAAATTTGCAGTCCACTAACAGACTTTATCAAGTCATAACCGACTAATCGTAAACAAAAGGTTTTGGTGGGCTCTTCACTTTTCAGTGAAAGCCCTATTGTAATTGGTGTCCTACAAGGTACCGTTTTAGGTCCTCTTTTGTTCTTGCTTTACACAAATGATATCTCGGCGGCAGTTAAAATTTCTCAATCATTTTTTATGCCGATGATCTCAAATGTGTATGTTCTTTCAGCAAATCACCGACCATCCATCGCCTGGAGCAAATCTATGCTGACTTGCTTGCTCTCTCAACTAGGAGCTCAAAATGGCTAATGGAATTCTCTCCGTCTAAATGTCGCTATGTGTTTTGGACCTGATAGGTTACTCCAACCAGTGGTCTTTCAAGGCACACCCATGACTGAATGTACCACCATCAAGGATTTGGGTTTTAGCTACACTAATAATCTTGATCTCTCGC